ACTAGCAAAAAAGTAGCAAAATGCTAGCAAAACACTAGCATAAAAAGCAGCAAAACACTAGCAAAACAGTAGAAAAACACTAGCTAAAAGCTGGCAAAAAAATAGCAAAACAATAGAAAGTAGCAACAAAATAGCAAAAAGTAGCAAACCACTAGTAAAAAGCAGCAAAACACTTGCAAAAAAGTAACACCAGCTAAAAGCTAGTAAAAAAAAAAAGCAAAAAACTAGAACAAAGTAGCCAAATAATATAGAAAAACACTAGCAAAAAAGTAGCAAAACACTAGCTAAAAGATAGCAAAAACTTAAAGTTGCATTTGTTAATGTTTTTGGCTACAATAACTATAAGCATGTTTTGGAGGAGTAGTCATGGTGAGGCTTTTAAACTTGAGAACACAGTGCAAACTGTCAAGCATGGTGGCAGTAGTATCATGCCGGGGTACTTGTGCATTGCATAAAATGGATAGAGCCATGATGAAACTTCCTCCAAATATATATACATTTTTTACTTCACCTCAAATCGAGCTGAACCTTGGACACATTGGAATGATCTAACAGAACAGTTTCTGATTGGATGAATCAAGTTAACTTTAGGCTTCTGGATGGAAAGATCTCAAAGTTTGTTTCAAAGTTGAGTCCACAGCAGAAAACCAACTAATCCAGTCAACTATCCAAATGAAATTACGCTTGCTGATGGGAGCCCGGGGTCGAGGTGCAACTCACTAAGGGACATTTAACTAAATACTATCCAGCGTGGATTAGAGAACATCCATAATAAACTCAAACTTGAGCACCAAATTCTTGTTTTTAACCATCATGCTGGATATGGGCACAAGTGACTCCCGTGACCCGAAAAGGAAGAAGCGGGTAACAGATAATGGATGGATGGATGGATGGAAGTTGTCTGATTTAAATAATTTCACGCGGGGACAACAATATTTCAGATAAAATCATCAAAAGCCCCAGATTACTTTCCAGTGGTTCCCAACCCTGGTCCCTGAGGAACACCATCCTGCATGTTTAAGTTGTTTCTCTGCTCCAACACACCTGATTTGAATGAAAGGGTGATTAACAGGCTTCTGCCTAACTTAAGGAAGTAAATAAACCACTGAATCAGGTGTGTTGGAGCAGAGAAACAACTAAAACATGCTGGATGGTGTTCCTCAAGGACCAGGGTTGGGAACTGCTGCGCTTGCAGCTCCTTCTCTTAAAGTTACCAGGCTTTAAAAGACAGGTCATCATTTTTTAAGTCTTATTTTGCTAAATAGAACAAAGCAATACACACGTTTTGTTCATTTAATTAATTGTGTTAATTCAGTCAGAGTGGGAACACATGAAATCTTCTTAATCTCATTTTCTGGGGAGAAAAAGTGAGCAGTTTGGCCAAATTTCTTTCTTTTTGAATTCATCATAAATCATAACTGTTGGACGATGAAGGAATTTGTCCATGTTGAAAAGAAAAATGCTGCAGTTCGGCTTTAGCTGAAGTGGTTTTCATAATCATTTCCTCCCCGGACTGTGACCCCCGCCTCACAGACATTCTTCAGCAGACTGGAAGTAGGTTGTGCCCATGTTAGGAACCGTTACCTGCTGTCCGTTACAAGATATGTTCAGGAAAATTAGATTTTTTTAACGGTTTATTTGGTAAATGCAATAATAATTTAAGTTTTACGATGTCACATGTTTATCTTAGATCTTGTGTTTGGATATCAGCCGCAGCTTATAACAACTGATGAGTCATTCACAGACTTGTTTTCATTTGAGATGACAAATCAGAGATTTTTAGCCACGATTGAAACTTATATAGTGAAGCAGTGTTGTTCTCCCCCCTCTTACGATGTCACAGATCTTAGAAAATTAGTTAAAAAAGAAGCTTTATTCCTCCACGAAGTCTTCTCAGACTTAACAGCCTGAAAAAATAACTTTTTTTTTTTTTAACATTAAATCAAAGCAACATGATTGTTTTCCTGATTCTAGCTTCTTTTGAACAGTTTTTTGTAATCAAACTATATGTGGTGCTTGAAAGTTGGCAGGAACAAAGGACATTCCTCAGGACCTCAGAAAAAGTGTTGTTGATGCTCATCAGGCTGGAAAAGGTTATAAAACCATCTCTAAAGAGTTTGGACTCCACCGATCCACAGTCAGACAGATTGTGTACAAATGGAGGAAATTCAAGACCATTGTGTTTGGAGAAAGGAAAACGCTGCATTCCTGCATAAGAACCTTATCCCATCTGTGAAACATGATGGTGGTGGTAAGTATCATGGTTTGGGCCTGTTTTGTTGCATCCCAGAGTTGAAGCTGTTCTGTTCTCTGCACAGGGCCTCCAGCCGAGATTTGAGCCTGCGACTTTCTCGCCGAGTGCCAACGGCTCTACCAACTGCGCCACCGTGCCGCCCAAATACCTTTCTGCTAATTGAATTTCGTAGCAAATTTTGCTGTATTTAGTATTTAGCTATGGTTCAGCTAATTTTTACTTCAAACTGCTGACTTGCTAAATTAAACTTTTTGCTAGGTTTAGCTTTTACCCACCATTTTAATCATTAGCTCCAGTTTTGCTAGTTTCAGCCTTTAGCGACATATCGACTGATTTTAGCTTCTAGCTAGTTTTAATTTAATTTTAGCTTCGAAGTACAATTAATAGTTTTAGCATTTAGCTACCCTTTTGTTGGTTTTAGTTTTTAGCTGTCGTTTTGCTGATTTTAGCCTTTGTTCTGGTTTAGTAATTCACGTTTCAACAAATTTCAGAGCTACCTCTGAAAGTCATCCTGCTTTTTGTGGAGGGATGTTCTCTAACACAATCCAGACATCCAATAAAGAGGCGACGAGCGAGGCTTTAATCAAAAAGCACGGGGCTTTTGTTTATTCCTTGTTGCACGCACACAGAACAGGTGAAGGTATATTTACACAGATGTAAACAGTCAGTACCTGCAACAAAAAAGGAAAAGAGAGGGCACAGCCCCTCCCGTCTTTCTCTACCTCGCACATTCAAACACACGCGCAGGCATTAGGACGCGCACACGTTCACACACACCGAGTTTGCAGTATAAAGAGTGTCTGAGAACACGGAGCGCAGCGGGCCTCTTTGGTCAGATTCCCAATGATCAAAGCCTAAAACAAGCCGCCGTTCAGAGCAGAGAGAAGACGGACCAGGCCAGGAGGTCAAAACTAGATCTCCTTCAGCAGAGTCCATTGAACAATGGCACACAATGCAGCTTAAATATATTTTATCGTTTCCCCTTCTGGAGTTCAGCAAAAATAATTTCTGCTCTGTAAACGCCACAGCAGCATTCAAACAAAATGAACACAAAGTACCTGATGACGGACAAAAGCTATGACAGGGTCACATAATTCTTTACAAAGAAACAGTAAATTCAGCTAAACATAAACTAATCTGTCCTAAATAGACAGAAATTTGATTTTTTTTTTTTGTCCACAACCTTCCAAAAGATTCAGTAACTAACATGAAAGCAGCTGAAAACAAACATCACAGAACAACGTTCTCAACACGAGTGCAAATAATTCAGCCTTTTTTTTTTTTTTTTGTACTTCATTGTTTCTGCTCTTCAAGAAGCATTCGTAACACAAATAATAAAGAAGAATGAAGTTGCTGATATGAGAACACACAATGTGGTGTCCAGAGGAATGCCTGATTAAAACGAACACAAAAAAAAAAGGTTAAATTTGAAGTTCCTGCACAGCAGAAGATAACCGTGGAAGGAAAAGCAATATTTTCACGCCTGCTCTTCCTTCCACCTCTGTACCGTCATCAACACACTCCTCCTTTTCTACTTCTTTTCCTTTCTTCTCTTCCTCTCATTATGCACGCACTCGCTTCATTTCTTTGGCTAACACAGCGGCCAAAACACATAAACTGTTGTGTTCAGCTAAGTCACCAAATGTTTTCTGGCTTCTGTCCCAACAAACGGTGTTGCCATGGTGACAACCTATCATCACTTCCCGTTACAAAAACAGCTGCAAAAGCTCACAAACCCTTCCGTTCTGCTCGAACATGCATTGAAACGGTTTAAATAACTCATCTTTATATACGTACCGATAGATTAGTAGAATATTTTTCAAACTTTATGCGTTTTTATGCTTGTGAACTCCAGTTTAACCAATAAAAAGCTCATTCTTGAGACTCCTGGTGTGCACGACGCAGGAGAAATCCAGCATTTCAACAACTAATGTTGGCAGTTTTCACAGTAATGACACAGTACCTGTGCAAATATCTACTCAGACCAAGACTGGGATATGAAGTACCACTTTGAATCCCTCAAAGGTGGATCCGTTTCATGCAAACTGCTTATTCAAAATCTAAGGCTGCAACAGAATCAGTATTAAGTTGTTACAAGAAGAAATTCAGAGGAAATTTTCGATTAAAGATCACTAAAAGTTCAAAAGAAGTCAAATGTAAGTTGATGCACATTGTTCACCATTATCTGAGATTTTACAAACCAATTAATAATAAGTGTCAATAATCAAAGCTGGCTGATTCATAAATAATAAAAATGAATCACTTCTGCACCGTCTTGTGACATCTTTCCGATTTGGAAACACTACGCTATGTAGCATCAAATGTAGGTTTTTTATGCTTTAGATTAATTGAATGAGAAAATATGATTTACTGTTATAAATGCAACACCTTTTTGTAGAAAATGTGTGGAAAAAAGCTAAATAGGTATGAAAAACGTGACTTGAAATGTGTAAAAAATGCATACAAAACACTTTTAAGGTCACATGAATTCAGTTTTCCTAAAATGACAAAATGCAGGAGAGAAATGGCACAAAAAGCTTTCTCACTTTTGAACTTCATTCTGCTGCGAGCGGCATCAGCGTCTAAAATAAGGTGTAGTCTTCCTGTGAGTCACAGTCTAAGGTCAACCGAGAGATCCACAACGTTTACAGCCAGCTGTCACAGCCTGCACACCCACAGAGCATACTGCTACCTTATGGACAGAGGCGTCCATTTGTGTTTTTGATTTTTTACAAAGAAAAACAAAGGGCTGCTCTGCTTCTCAGTGATAATCCAGCTTTAGTGGTCGCCATGCTGAAAAACTACAACTCCCAGGCACTTGATAAAAACCTAACGTGCAGCAGAGATTTCCACTGGCTCAGCTCGCCTCTGATGCACAGAGAGAAAAAAGCAGCAACATTCAGAGTCAGACCCAAACGCAAACAAACAAAAAAAAGCTTTACCTTCAGCATGCATAAAGTTCTTGAGATATACTGTACGTTGACGATTTAACTAGAGGTTGGTGTTTGCATTCACACACTAATACATGCTGCTGGACCGCTGTGAAATGCTACAATTCAAGAGCTAAACTGTAAAATCATCATCTGATTAACAAAACCCCTGAAAAGAAGTTTGATTAATACATTAATGGTCTGTGCCAGAGAGGAGTGGACACATGAGCAGAAAGAGAATGAGGTAGAGACAACCGTGTGTGTAGACGAAGTGAAAACCTTGAAAAAAAGCGTGCGGAGCGCAGCAAAGTGCAAAAAAATTAAAAAAATGGAAGAGCGAAGGGGTGAAAGTCAGGTACTTGTGTCAGTTCATCTCGGATGGTTGTCAGGGTCGAAAATGAACCGTGATTTTCACATCCGTAAGTGACGGGAGTCTGTGAAGGGCGGCTCAGAGTCATCCATGGGGAGTACGAGGCGCGTCCCCCTCATCACCAGCTCATGATCTCCGCACGCCAACTCTCTGTCCAGGTCATCGGAGGTGGCGACACCGACGAAGCCTCTGCCGCTGCTGGTGTGGGCTCCCGTGGCGTCCGTGCTGACGGTGATGTCGCCGTAGGTCAGGCTGATGTCGCCGTCCGTCAGGATGAGGTCGGAGTCGTCGTCCTTCAGCTGGCATTCATTCTGGGGAGGGGGGAGATGAAATATGTCATACATACAGGCAGTAAGTAACTGTAGTCCTGGTTCATGCCTGGTATAACGTGTGCACCGACCGACTGGCTAATCCAACACACAGAAATCAGATTTTATTCCCGTTAGTGAACGCACCTAAACAAAGATGCTAGTTCTCGATAGCGAAGGACACGTTTTTGGTGAGTGAAGTAAAATAAATGTAAAAAACGAGAACATTTCTGTCGACATTTTGATGTAGGAGTTTGGTCACCATGGTAACCACACACCTGTGGTCATCACTCCCTGACAGCCAAGTTAATGACGCAAACAGAAACACACTGAAAAGTAAGCCTCAAATAAACAATCACAGTGCAACACTCGTAAGTAAAATACTTAAAACTCTTGAACCCTTAGTGGCAGAATACTCAAGATGGTCACACATTTGAATTTTTATATTCCTACTGGGGGGGCGATATGACACATAAAAAATACCTTTTACTTCCATTTTAGAAGATAATATTTGGAGCTCAAATAGAAGTGTATCTGTAATAAAAACGCTGTAGGAGAAAGAGCAAGTCGGCAAAGGTTTGCGACAGTCAGTTGAACATTTAATAGAAAAAGCTCCTAAAAATCATAAAATCAAAACTGATTGTGTAAAAACTGAAAGATATCTAAATGCCTGTCCGACATGTAAAGCCCTGCTTCAGTCTTGAATGTTTCTACCGTGAAGAATGTCTCATCTATAGATCTGCAGGGCTGGATTTTTTTTATCCGTTTCGCCAAACTCACATTTATTATCGTATCTTTGTGCAGTTTTCAGAATATAATGTTTATGATGTACAACATACTGCTACCAAACGTCATGGCACACTTTTCCTTATCGAGCTGTACGTTTTATTTCAAAGCTGTGCGACGAGATACAGGATTTTTTTTTTTTTTTATTGAATAATTATTAAGGGTCTTTTATTTTACATTAGTGCAAATGTTTTGTATTCTGTTGATCATAGTTATAAGATAGAAAAGAATATAAAGCGGACGGGCAGGTCAAAGCTGCAGAGAAATTAGACTTGACCAACTAAACTAAGACTGGTGCATCACTTCACATCTAAGCTTCATGAATCTGCAAAATAACCCGTTTTAACTTCTGTTAAATGATGTAAACTTTAAAAATTTCAGTTCAAAATGGCTCCTGTGTGAACCAGCATCTGACCTCAAAGGCCTGAGGGCTGGTCAGGAAGCGGGCGAGGGGGCCGCAGCATGGCGGCAGCGTGGTTGTGAGAGGAGGACCGCTGTGGGTTAGGATGGGCTTCAGATAGCTGGAGACTCGAGTTAAGGACAAAGATACATAAACAGGAGAAGAATTAAACAATAATGAAGCTGTTTATTAAGATATTTTACTCCTAATGCATGGAATTGAACACACTTCATATTACAACCTTTATTACCTTCAAATCTACAAGTGGGGCTCCCTCTGCTGCTTAAAGATAAAATCTAAATCAACTCATGAAAGGATGCAAACAGAAGCACCGACGTAACAACAAGCTGATGGAAAAGGATACTTGTGGTCAAAGCTGTACCAAATTCTGAAAAGCCAGGCACTTTCCTGTTTGGTGCTTCTTCTCTCTGATCCGTCAGCGACACTCACCTGAACCAAAACAAATGATTATTATTTAGTTTTTAAACAGAGTTGATCTGCTGATCACACTGCTGTAAAATGTGTGTCTGAATGTTACTCACAGAGTTATCTTGATCCGAGTCTACTCCCACTCTGTTAAAGAAAGAAAGAAGTCAGTTTCTGTTGGAAGAGCCCAGAACAACAAACTTATCATTATTCCCTTTGACATTTGGTATGTTAATCCCAACCCTTATTAAAGCTCCCCTCTATAAAAATTGAGTCAATTAACATCAAGGACTTGAAAACTTCTCTTAAATTTACTACTTTCTAAGGAGATATTCTGAACTATATTCAACATCTGAATTCAAACAGCTGCATGTCGATTATACAACATTTAAAAGCCCGTGGTTAAATTACATCAAACCCACGTTATAAACTCTTCTCTAGCTAATACAGTTGTGTTGCTCTATGATTCATAAATGAACTATTATTGTATCTGTGTTGTGCTTTTATACACTGCCTGGCCAAAAAAATAAATAAATTTGCCACAAAAAAAAGGTCACATTAATATTTCTTTGTCCACCTTTAGCTTTGATTACATCATGCATTCACTGTTTCATTGTTTTGATAAGCTTCTGCAATGTCACAAGATCTGTTTCCATCCAGTGTTGCTTTAATTTTTCACCAAGATCTTGCATTGATGACTAGACACACTAGGCATCACTTCACCTGCCTCTCTTCCTACCCTGATGCGCCCATCACTCTGGAACAGGGAAAATCTGAACTCATCAGACCACATGACCTTCTTCCGTTGCTCCAGAGTCCAATCTTAATGCTCCCTAGCAAACTGAAGCCTTTTTTCCAGTTAGCCTCACTGATTAGTGGTTTTCTTAAGGATACACAGCTGTTCAGTCCCAATCCCTCGAGTTCCCTTCACATTGTGTGTGTGGAAATGCTCTTACTTTCACTATTAAACACAGCTCTGAGTGCTACTGTTGTTTTTCTGCCATTTGATTTCACCAAACGTTTAAGTGATCACTGATCACGATCATTCAGGATTTTTTCCGGCCACATTTCTTCCTCGAAGACGATGGGTCCCCACTATCCTTCCAGTTTTTAATAATGCGTTGGACAGTTCTTAACCCAATTTTAGTAGTTTCTGCAATCTCCTTACATGTTTTCTCTGCTTGATGTCAATGATTTGACCCTTCTCAAACAGACTGACATCTTTTCCACGACCACACGACGTGTGTTTCGACATGGTTGTTTAAGAAATGAGAAGAAACTCATTGCACCAGTTGGGGTTAAATAATTTGTTGCCAGCTGAAAGATAATCACCCATGCAGTAATTATCCATTAGGATATATAGGAGGCTCGTACCCATTTGCTTGGTTAAATCCAGTTAGCAACTTTTTTTTGGCCAGGCAGTGTATGTATTTTATCCTGTGTCCTTTGCTTGTTTTGGCTGTACAGAACTTTGTCTAGCCTTATTGCTGTTTTTAAGTGCTTTATAAATAAAGTGGTACACATTCAAGACCAAACAAAGATGAGTTTCCAGCAAATACCACCAGCCAATCCATTTTGAAGTGGATTTGGTGGTGTTGCAGTCGTACCGTATTCGCTGGCAGGACAGCATCTGAGTGGTGCCACCGCCACAAACCCAAACGGTGAAGAAGACCACGAGAAGGTTGGTGGAAAACATCATCTGCCGGGCAAATGTGGCCGTGTCCCTGATGGACAGGGCAAAGGTCATCGCTCCCCGCAGGCCTAAAAAGACCAACACAGAAAAAGATGAGCAAAAACAACAAGTTCATGACTAACGTCCTCATCTGTGCTCCACGGACCTGCAAACATCATCATGTGTTGGAAGTTGGACCTGATCTTGTAACGTCGGCCCAGATTGAGAAGAAGTGAAAGAGGGTAGATGTTGGCGGCTCGACCCAGGAAAACTGCCAGCTGAGAGGGAAAGATGTTAAGAACAGCAAAACTAAAAGCAGTGAAAACTTCTGACACGCCAACAGACTTATTTACCATCTCAAAATCATATTTTGATTACATTTTGGTGGTTGCTTGTCATTCTGAGATGTTTATATTTGTAAAAATGCAGAAATGAGCAGGGAAGACCTGCATTTTACAAAAATTTAAGTGAAATTATTTACTATTCTGATCAGGGAGTGCATTCATAAAACACTGCGTTTCACTGGGTCCAAAGGATACAAACGCTCCAACGATGAACATCGGATTAAAGATGTGGTTCTGGAAGGTGAACAGGGTCAGACCCATGTAGGAGAAAATAAAGTTCTCTGCCAGGAAGTTTAGGAGCTCAAACAGCTGCAAACAAAGAAAAACAAACATTTGCTTACAGATACATAATTTGTATTGTATGTGCAGGAACATAAAACCTGTAAACACTGAAAGGGAAATTTACTGAGGCCATTTTTGGAATTTGTCCTTTTATTACAGCAACTGTGCGTTTTATTTTTCCAGCCTGTATTCAGACCCTGTTGGCTCCATGTCCCTGTCGTGTGATGAAGAGGGGGCTGCAGTGTTTGTTTTCACACAATTATAGCAACAGTGAAGACATACTGAGGTTTACAGAAATAAAAAACTGCAACTTCAACAGGGAGATGACATTTAGTTTAAACAAACTGTGGTTCTAAAGCACTTTTAAGGCTGAGGCGGAACATTAATGGTTTTAAGAAGATAAATTAAAAAAAAAAAAAAAGCAGATGTGAAGCGGTGTGATGGCTGCAGTCCAGGTCTGACCTGCTTTGTTCGGTCCTGAGACTCAGGAGACAAGTTGTTGTAGGTGTAGTGGGCCTGAGTGATTCCACAGAACAACACTGCCACCACACCTGCAGCACACAACACAATCAACAGATCAATACACTCTGATCAGGATCATTACAATGGATTAACAATAATTTTCTGCTTCTCTGATCCCTATAGGAACATATTTTGTCTCGTTAGGAACACTCCAGCAGGGCCAATGAGCCTTTAGATCAGGGGTCTGCAACGTTTACGATCAAAAAAGCCGTTTTTATTCCTTCGTTCGCTAAATTAAAAGTGTTCAGAGCCACAACACATTTTCAACTGGTGGCCCATGGGCCACTTTACGTTTGTTGGAGGAGACTTTTGTGGCCAGTAGGGGTGACATTATAAAGCTAAAATATCCAATGATTTTTAACATTTATTAATGTTTTTACAATTTAAGACAAACGAAAAGACCAGATTCTTGTAAAGAGAGTGAGAGGGGTGGGGAGTAGTTTTTTAATTAATAAAAACTATGAACTATGCAGATCTATGTAATTTTTTTTAATTGTGGACAAAATAATCAAGTATAGAAATAAAGCATAAAGTTAAAGTGAGTATGTTTTACTCCTTGTACTTGTTCCAGCATTCACATAGTTGCAAACGAAATTACAGGAAAACAGCTAAAACTAGTCCTTTTTTGTTGTTTGTACCAATAAAATTCAGTTGTATGTTAGTTTTAGTGAAAGCTTGAAAAAGCCACTGCAGAGGGATCAAAGAGCCACATGTTGCAGACCCCTGCTTTAGATAGGTTAGTGAGACTGCAAGGTGGAAAATGACATTACACCCAAATGACCTTGACTGTGTGTGAGTGAGTGTGTTCGTTACCTGTGAAGCCACAAGCTTCAGCCAGCAGGAACGTGCTCCACGACATGAGGAAGAACAGAGCCGTCTCCAGCAGCTGGAAATCCTTCAGCTTCGTGAACTTTGTCACGTACACAAAAAAAGTCAAGAACTCTACCAACATTCTTTAGCTTTCTTTCATTTATCTTTAAAACCTTACACTGACTGACCGCTGCTAATACAGTTTAAAGATTAGAAAATTTAACCGTTGTTTTTTTTTTATCCTTTTACAAAGTAAAACATTGTGCCGCTAATTGTGGCTATGCTAATTCAAATACTTCTGTACACAAACTCAGATTTTATGAACAATATCACTGAGACTCTTTTGCACACCTGATTTACAATGAATCAAGTCATCTTGATAAATATATATATATATATATATATATATATATATAAACAAAAAGATATGAGCGCCGTAACAACTCCAGTGGCCACTCCGAGCGAAAAGGAGCCACTGAAGACTCCGAGAAACATCCCAAAAGACTTGAGCAGCGCCATGGCCTCAAAGGTGTGGCTGTTGTCTCCTTGTGGCTGGTACGCCACGATCGACCTGAAATGTTACAGAAAACAAACAATTAACGAAAACAAGAAGGAGACAAAGTACAGAGACTGTAAAACCAGTGCACACAGAAAGTACAACTACTTAAGGTTTATTCAGTTGTATAGATGTAAAAGCTAAACCCTGCAGACCTGAACAATATTTTCTAATTGGAGAAAAAGTTGTTCCATCAGGCTGATTAAAAAAATAAATAATCATAATTACAAATGTTATCATGAAGACAGCACATCTAGGCCTGTCACGATAACAAATTTTGGTGGGCGATTAATCCAGAAATTATTGCGATAAACGATAATATTGTTAATAATAATATTGTATTACAACTGTCGTAATCAATAAAGAACTGAGAACATAGAAGAAAGAAAACTAGTTGTCACCAAACTTGATTCAAATTGTTTAGAAACCATTATCAGTATGTAAATTCTAGATATATAAAACTGGAGTCAGGGCATACAGTAAAAAATAAATACATTTTAAAAATCCAGAAGGATTTTTTTTGTGAAAAAATGTGATGAAGTTACCAAATATTACATTTCTAAAGTGAGAAGGAGTTTGAACCAAGTGTGATTTTGAAGACAGACTGTTTTTTTCATATTCACAGCCTTCATGTACACAAACACACACACGCACGCACACACACACACACACACGCACACATACACGCACGAGAAATCACAAGGAATTTTATCTTTATGCACTCCTTCCATTTTGCCTCCTCATCTCTCTCAAGCCCTTTACAGATAAGAAATGCTCTGAAATGTTTTCTTAGCTGACTCACAACGTTAAAAATAGTCAGCAAGAAGAACAAAAAAATAAATTATTAAATACAATGTCTGAATAAGCCAGAGTCTAACAACAAATAGCCTGTGATTTGATGCGTTTGTCCTCAGGCACTGCAAAGACACACAAAGAGGCGCTCTACGCTCTGCTCAGAGGTTTTCTGCAGGACCCAGATCCTCCTCCTGCTGCTATGAAAACGCAGAATTCTGTGAGGATTACAACAAGCCAATGTGGAGAATAACGGAGCGTCATCTGACGGATCAAATTCCACTTTACTCCGAATTAAATGTGACAACCGTGAATAACTATCACTGCTGAGTTGACAAACGGGATGAAGACGTCCACATTTAACCTCTCTTGCGGGAAACGAGTAATTTTACCACCGAGTGCACATCACAGCTTATACAAGAGCGTGATCACATGGAAACAGGCGACTTACGAAGACAGAACCACGGCAACGGCATCGTTGAGCACGCTCTCTCCGAACAGCAATGCGTACAGGTCTGCATCAACCTGCAGCTCGTGGAATATAGCCAGAACTGTCACTGAAACAGAAAAAACACGTTGATCAAAAGAACTATACGTCACAGAGAGATACAAATCTATACTAAGATGTATGTGGTAATAATTAGGGCCAGCAACTTAAGGTAACGCTACATCCACTGCCAAAGGCAGGGGAGGAGGCATAACCTTAAGTTGGTGGACACCATAATTCATGGCAACATACAAAAGATAAGATACGATAGATCTTTACTGATCCTGCAGGGAATTGTTGAATGAACTATTTCTCAGCTGTCATGTGACTTTACATCAAGGAATCATGTGACTTTTCTACCTGTTTTAAATGTCAGACATACTTCCTGGTTGAGCTCCTTTGAAGGTGAACATTAAAACGATATGCAATCCTTTTTGAATTTTTATGTCCTGTGTTTTTATATTTGTTTCCGTCGAATGACTAAATGAGATTTTATAGACCCAAAGGTAAAAAAAAAAAAAAAAAAAAGTGGGTAAAATATTACAATTATTGTAGGTTTGCATCTCCATTATCCATTTACTGAAACAAACATTTATAAGTGGCGTAAAAAAGCAAATAAATATGCACACTTGAACATTTTATTTTAGTAGAGCATGTGACTAAATGTGCAAGTTTAAAGGTTTTCTGTGTAGAGTTGATCTCAGTTGGACTTTGTATTGTGGGAGCATAGTCAGTTAAACTCATAGTACAGTGTACAGTATATCTGTTGTACTGTATGTAAAACTGCTGCATGCAGATGATTTTAAGTTTAGGGAGACTCTTTGTGAAGGTGATGTGTTATATCCTAATGATTGCTCAATAATCCAGGTAGAAAAATCTAAAAAAGTTAAGTCTGGTCCTCTGGACATTCAAAAAAACAAAACAAAAAAAAATTGTAGAAATGTTTCGTCTTTCATCCGAAAGACTTCTTCAGTCGGAGGTGCTGTGTTCAGCTCAGTCTTATAAAGAGCAATAAATCAAAAATAGGTGATGTGTTATGCTGAACACGTATAACAAACTTCAGCTTCAAGTAAATTCAGTAATAAAGCGTTTGACATGTGCGTATAAGTATTTTTTACCTGGGTCTGTGGCAGAAACGATGGCTCCGTAGAACAGACAGTCAGTGAAGAAGAAGTCTCCACCCAACTGACTGACCTGCTTAATGAGCGTCACGCAGCCGTACATCAGCAACCTGTTGAAGAAAAACACACAGTGAAGCTTTTAACCTCCAACCAGTGACCGAAGGATTGCTTTTAATGGGGAAAATTAAGGTTCTGACCCAATCACAAAACAAGAAATGACAGTCCCCACAAAGGCATAAGCCAGGATGGATCCCATGTTCCGGAAAAAATGTCTCTGAAAGATCAAATAAAATGCCACATCAGCAAACATCTCAAATTACAGAGAAGACAATTTCATTATTGTTGTTGATTCAGTGCAAGTTAAAATAAATGTTCCCTTTATAAAAAAAAATTTTTTTAAAAGGTTTTCTTCAGCAGGAGTGAGTGAATAATACTGTACCCTTTTTAAGCTGTAGCCAGCGTGGAAGATGATGGGTGGCAGCAGGATGTTAAAGAACACTTCAGGGTCAAAGGTTACCTGAGTCACACAAACAAAGCAACAATGTGATGTTTGTAAACAAAACAACAAATGAGAAGGTATTTTCAATTCAATTCAGTTTATTTCTATAGCACCAAGTCACAACAGAAATCATCTCAGGGCACTGAACAGAAACGTTCATACGGTATATAAAAATAATAATAATAATTATTATTATTATTATTATTTATCAGAGGAGCAGACTGATTTGAATTTAACTCCAATGCAGAACTCTCATCTTGAGCAAGCATGAAGGCAACAGTGGAAAGGAAAAACTCCCTGAGGAAGAAACCTTTAGCAGAACCAAGCTCAGGACAAGTGTTCATCTGCTTCAACCAGCTGGGTTTGAGAGGAACAGGAAGGAGGAACAGATACACAATGGCAGGTCGAGAATCACATTAAGACAGAAATAGTATCAAATGAAAACTATTCAATTTTAACAACTCATTTAAGGAAATGTGGTCAATTTGTCCTCCAGTAGTCTAAGCCTGGGCAGCACGGTGGCGCAACTGGTAGAGCTGCTGCCTCTCAGCGAGCAGGTCCTTGGTTCAAACCCCGGTCCAGGGGCCTTTCTGGGTGGAGTTTGCATGTTCTCTCCGTGCATGCGTGGGTTTTCTCCGGGTACTCCGGTTTCCTCCCACAGACCAAAAACATGCAAGTTAGGCTGATTGGTAACTCTAAATTGTCCCTAGGTGTGAGTGAGAGAGTGAATGGTTGTTTGTCTCGTTTGTCTCTGTGTCCCTGTGATGGACTTGCGACCCATCCAGGGTGTACCCCGCCCCTCGCACAGTGATTGCTGGACATGGGCACCAGCGACCCCCGTGACCCAAAATGGAATAAGCGGGTAAAATAGATGGATGGATAGTCTAAGCCTATGGAAGCGTAACAAGTCAACCCTAACTATAGATGGAGCTAGGTTGTTGAGAGCTTTGTAGGTTAGAAGTAAGATCTTGAATTCAATTCTGGACTTGACAGGGAGCCAGTGGAGAGAAGCAAAAACTGGAGAGATTTTTTCTGGCTTACTAACTCCAGTTAAGACTGGTAGCAGCTCGTAGTACTCGTAGAATAGTATTCAGACATACTACAATGCTGTGAAATTTCTGGATAACTTCAAGAAATTATTTAACCAAGGATGAAACATCTGGGACGTAATGGAGTCGTTTTCAGAACGATCAACAAGAACTGAGAAGAACTAAATTACAAAATGTTACAGAACGTGTCAGTTAAGGCCATTTTTAGACATAAATCTAGATCTGCGTCACATAAATCTGTTAAGAGTGGTTTCAAGTCAGCCTTGGTTTGCTTTAAATTCAACAGCAAACTCATTCAGTGAACTATAAAATGACATTTCAGCCGTTCGGTCTTCAAATGTCACTGCTGGAGTGGTACCTTGCGCAGCATCTCGTTATCTTGCATGTAGTTCACATCGTTGGCACTGATCTCCCCCTTCAAAGTGTACTCGTAGAATCTGCCACTGACGTTGACCAGCAGGGTGGCGGGGCTGGCGTTAACGACGCAGCTCATGGAGGCGGGGTTAACATCGCGAGGAACGTGAACGCCGTATCGCAGGATCACGCCAACAATTAAACCTAAAAAAAAGAAAAAGAAGGACAAAGATAAAAATGTATCAAAGATAGAAGTAAATTCAAAGGCTTTTTCTTTTTTTTTTTTTATATAAAAAAAACCAAAAACAAAGTCAAAAGCTCAACAACATTTCACTTACAATGTGCTTGTGTCTGTATTTGTCTATGAGCACAATTGCTCATAAATCTTTTTGGAATAATTTGATGAAACTTTTGGAAAGTAATCATTAGATGAGAGTACATTTACAACAAATTAATTTCTGGCCCAATTTAAGGTGGCCACCACAGCTGATCAGCCTTAGCAAACACAAAATTAGCTAAAACTTCAGTCCATTGTACGGATAGGGAAGGCGTGGTAGCAGAAAGGGAGAAAACAGAATGGGAGGCAGAGCTTCAGTTATCAGGCTCCTCTCTTGTGGAACCAACTTCCAGTTTCTATCCGGGGCTGACATCTTATCTACTTTTAAAACTAGTCTTTCCTTTTTGATAAATCCTATAGTTAGGGTTGGCTTGGGTTTCCTGAGCCATCCCTTAGTTATGCTGCTAGGCTTAGACTACTGGAGGACAAACGGACCACATTTCCTCACTCTGCTGCCGTCTTTACTTGCTCTCCTCTACCTGTTTGTATTTGTAATGATTTCTATCTTAACATGTGTTTTTTGTCTTTCCTCCTATAGAAAGTTCACCTGGACCTGTCATTCTGTGTTCGTTTCTCCTTCCTGTCCTCTCAAACCCAGCCGGTCGAAGCAAATGGACACTCTTCTTGAGTCTGGTTCTGCTGGAGGCTTCTTCCTGTTCAAAGGGAGTTTTTCCTTTCCACTGTTGCCTTTGTGCTTACTTAGGATGAGAAACTGTGACAAAGAGCAGGTTAGGATTTTTTTGTCTCCAAAACCTATGCATCATTTTCACCACAAAAACACAAAGTTTGTTTACTCAGTCATCCAGGTACATAACAACAAAAAAGGTTGAATCAGAAAACGAAGTCCAGATGACATGATTCAACCTTTTTTGTTGTTATA